TGTCACTGCCTTAAGTCATCTCTGCTCCTCTCCTCAGCCCATGTGACCGGTGGAAGATGGCCACCCCACCTGTCCACATGACATTTTCCTAGATCCTCTGGAAAGACTGACCGGACCCTGGAGGGGAGGAAGGGGGGACCAAAATTGCCATGAGAGGGCATCTGATTGGTCTGTTTTAACAACATGACTATCCTTGATGCAGCAGCTATGGTGTCTATATGAGGTGCCAGGGGCCTTTGACCTGTGGATGGAGGGGGGATAGTTTCCAAAGCTGGGGAATTCTTGGGAGTTGGGAAGTCACTGCTCCCCCTACATCAAGTATCTAAAAGTCTGCTCAAAAAGTCAGACCCTGGCCCTTGTTGGTGTGCTCAGTGGTTAGAGTGTCGGTCCACACACCGAAGGGTCCCATGCAGGCTTAAACCCCAGTCCAGGGCTCAGACCTGAGTTGCAGTTTCTATCCCTGGCCCTGGTTGGGGCAGTTGCTGGAGGCAACCAATCCATGTGTCCCTCTCACATCATCAATGTTTCTGATGTTTCTCTTTCTCTCCCTACCTCCCACTCTCTCTAAAAAGCAATGGAAAAAAATATCCTCGGATGAGGATTAACAACAACAACAAAAGTCAGTCCCTGTAACACCCTCAGTGATTGGGGGATTAACCACTCTGTTTTCCAGTGTGGCACCCCCTGTTCTGCTGGCGTTTGCAAAGCTGCAAGCCCTGGCTCATTGAGCTCTGTCCTGACCATTAGCACCCACACTCCAGCCCATGCCTCGCTGCCCGAGTCCTTCTGTCCCTCCTTTGCACCCTTCTTAGGGTCTCCGGTCTTCCTTGCCAAGGGCAGAGGAGGTCCTGGAAGATGATGGCAAAAGAGGGTGTGTGTGAGCCCCCTGTGGGATTCCTAAGTCATCCCCCGAGTCCCCCTTTGCACTCCTAAGGACTGGAATGCCCATCCTGTCTCCTCCCTGACCAGTACCCGTTCTCTCTACCTCTGGGCGACTCTCCCCGGTCTGTGTGTTGTATGCACGTCCATCTGCTGCCCAGGCTCTCTCCTCCTCTCTCTCTCCCCCTCACCTGAGTGGAGGAGACCTGGAATCCAGGTCCGGCCCTCAGACCTCACCCACCCCCATTCACAGCTGTGCGCCTTCCTTTCTCCTCAAACAGAGAAGCACTGTGCTGGAGCCCAGGTGGAGGAAGGGATCTTAATCTAGCAATTATTGATCAGGAGGGCCTTGGAAGACATAGTTACATAAAAACCATAAGTATGGAAGTTAGGTACTTTAAGTACCTAAGGGGAGGGAAGGGGCTAAGAATGTGCTCCTAATTCAGGCCCAGAGCTCAGGATCTGGCCACACCAAGGGACAGGCCTGGGAGCAGTGTGGGTGGTAGTCAGACCTGGGGTGGGAGGCAGGAGGCCTGGGAAGGGAGCAGGGGAAGGGCGAGGGTTGGGAATAATGAGGGGAGGGCAGTTGTCCTAATACCTTAGTCAGCGGTTCTCAACCTGTGGGGCGCGACCCCTTTGGGGGTCAAACGACCCTTTCACAGGGGTCGCCTAAGACAATGGGAAAACACATATATAATTACATATTGTTTTTGTGATTAATCACTATGCTTTAATTATGTTCAATTTGTAACAATGAAAATACATCCTGCATATCAGATATTTACATTACGATTCATAACAGTAGCAAAATTACAGTTATGAAGTAGCAACGAAAATAATTGTATGGTTGGGGGTCACCACAACATGAGGAACTGTATTAAAAGGTCGCGGCATTAGGAAGGTTGAGAACCACTGCCTTAGATGTTCTGAGCAGCTGAGAGGAAAAGCCCAGCTAAGGTCAGATGATATTTGCATATGCGTTGAATATCACCAATTAGGTGTTGTAACCCCAAGGAAACAGATGGCGCAAATTGGGATGAGGGAAGGCAGTTTAATAAAAGAACGGTTTACCAAGCTGTGGGGAGGGATCCGGAGCCACATGGGAGTGCTCACCGTGGGTCTCTGGGGCTGGTGAAGGGGCTGGTAAGGAGGCGGTGGTACCCCTGGGTGTGAGGGGGGAGGGAGAGAGGGGATGATTACTGAAACCTGGAGGCACAGAAGCTAGAACCAGGGTTCTGACAGGAGCACACTCTGCTGCCTCCTCCCTCTACCCTCCCTTCTCCTATGTCCTGCCAGTGCCCTCCCCCCACCATTGGTCAAACAGAGGGAAGGGGTCCCTGGATGCTGCTCAGGCACAGAGCAGGAAGGAGGAGAGAGAGTGGAGGGACAGGTAGAAGGCATCTAGCACAGGGGTCAAAGGGCAAAAGGAAATACCTCTAGGGCATCAGAAGAGTTCTCACTAAAGGGTGCCCACTGTCTGCCAGGCACGGTTCCAGGCCCTTTAAAGATAGTAATTCCTTTAATACTTACATCTGTGGAGGGAGCTGATTTTGCCCCTGGGAGCAGGATGGGGCAGAGTAAGGGAGAAGGGGGCACTCCTGGGCACACACATTGTGTGGTCATGGGGATATTCTTTTGAAACCTTGCAGCAACGCAAGGGCAAAGAGGGTGTTAGCCATTTCACACACGAGTGAGGAAGCTTAGGCCTGGAAGAACCCATCCTACTGTGATTCTCCAGACCTGGGGTGGGGCAGTGGCAGTAGGAGGGGAAGAGAGAGGAGGGGTTGGGAGCAAAGGCTCTTAGAGAGGGACGGAACCCCAGGGGCCTAGTCTCAGGGAGGCTGGCAGAATCCCCTTGGGATCACTCACCTGGGGGCTCCAGGCCGCCACCCCCAGTGGAAGTGATTCTGATTGGTTCCCCCATGCACCCTCTGGAAAATCCTGAGCTCATTTAACCTTTCATTTCACAGATGAGGAAAGTGACACCAGGAGGTCATGCAGTGAGAGGCCTGAGGCCCAGGGAGCCTGGTGACATAGTGGATGGCCTCTGAGGAGAGCTGGGAGCTGGTTCAGATGGTGTAAGGGAGGCCGCAGGGGAGCTATCCAGCCTCCCTCTTAGAAGGTTTAGGGAACCAAAACTAGTTTTTAAAAAGGATTAATTTTTAATAGACTAGGTAATATTAGACATATTTATTATTCAAAAATGAAAATAATATAAAAGGTTTATATTGAGAAGGCCAGATCACGATTTTGCTATTTATAGGTAACCATTTTTTATTGGTTTGATTTTTTTTCAGTGTATGTTAATGCTAAGATAAGGAAATAGAAATATATATTCTTGTCTCTACCCTCTTTTTACACAAAAGGTGGCATGCTATTACCCTGTTGTGCACCTTGCTTTTTTTCACTTAATATCCCTGGAGAGTTCTCCATATTAAAATCTAGAGAAAACCTCATTCTTTTCCAGAGCTGCACAGTATCCCATTACAAAGATCCAGGTACTGGGTTGTTACCCGTCTTTTCTTACTTCACAGAATGCCACCGGAATTATCGTGTGCCTCCCTGACTTTGCAGATGTGCAGGTGCCTCTGTAGTCTATTGTGCTTCTCGATAACCTGTGATGAAGAAACAGGTTTTACTTATCAATTTACAGCCTGTCGCAGGGGGATGATCATGTAAAATGTGATAAACGTGAATCCCTAGGGAAGTGAATTGGAAAAAACAAAACCAAACACAAACAACCTGCAAAATAAAAGCCCAAATATTTTGTTATTAGATCCAATAGACATAAAAAGTATTCTGTCAGCCCTGACCGGTTTGGCTCAGTGGATAGAGCGTCAGCCTGTGGACTCAAGGGTCCCAGATTCAATTCCGGTCAAGGGTATGTACCTTGGTTGCGGGCATATGCCCAGTAGGGGGTGTGCAGGAGGCAGCTGATCGATGTTTCTCTCTCATCGATGTTTCTAACTCTCTATCCCTCTCCCTACCTCTCTGCAAAAAATCAATAAAATATAAATTTTAAAAAAAGTATTCTCTCAAATAACTATGCAGGTTTTTAAACACTTACTCTCCAATGTCTGCATTAATCTTGCCACAGAGTCATCAGAGTGCATACTGGCCTGTGGACCATACTCTGAGTAGCACTGATCTAGACTCCCACGATTAGGTCAAAGGGTAAGCGCCTCTGTTGTTTTGCCAGATGCCCCGCCACGGCTGTGCCATTTTGCACACCCACCAGCAGTACATGAGTGTGCCTCCTTTCCCACAGCCTCACCAGCAGTGGTCTAACTTGGATTTTTGCTAAACCAATAGGTGAGCAGAGGTATCTTAGGCTAAGTTTTAATTTGCGTTGCTCTTATTATGAATGAGAATAAGTGTCATTCATGTTTTTAAGCCCAGTTTGCATTTATATTCATTTTCTACTGGACTGTTGCTTTTTCTCTTCTTGATTCCCAGGAGTTATTTACATAGCAGGAATATTAGCCCCTTTGTCTGTGATATGAATTGCAAATATTTTTTCCAGTTTGTTATTTGATTTTGCTTAACATTGTTTTTTGAGGGGGTAGGGGGAAAGGGAGGCATGCAGAAGTTTGTGGGTTTTTATGTAGTTAAATATTGTCTATACTAACTTCTGGATTTTGAGTCATGGTTCTCCACTCCAAGGTTATAAAGATTACTGCCCACATTTTCTTCTAGTATTTTGTTGGTTTTATTCTTAGCATGTAATCTTTTATCCAGTTGGAATTTTTCCTAGTATAAGGTGTAAGTTATGGGCCCAAATTTATCTTTTTATAACTGGCTATTCATTCGTCCTAGCTCCATTTATTAAAGTCCCTAAGATACCACTTTTATCATTAAAACAAATTTTAAGCCATTTGGGATCATAATAGGAAAAGCTCTATAATTTGTCAGTTCTGTGTAGAATACCATTCCAAGGGAAATTAGCTTTCAAGCTATGATCTATAACTTTGTATTTCTAGAGCAGAATAAACTCTAAGTAACATAAATTTATTTAAACAAACAAAAACCAAACCTGTGGGGCCACTGACATCCACGAGGAATGTCGGAGAAGTGGGCCTTGCCGAGGGAGCACGTGGTGAGCCTGAATGTTTGCCTTGCAGGTCCTCCCCGGCCTGCCTGCCGCTGGGAGCCGGGACCCAGAGGGGCCCACCATGGTGCTCCCCGGACCCCTGGCTGCCACCCTGTTGCTGCCCAGCCTCATGCTGCTGGTCTTCCACCTCTCCAGCTCCCAGGATGTCACCAGCGATCCCGGCCGTGAGCAGCAGCTGTGCGCCCTGAGGGAACACCCCACCGTGGCCTTTGCAGGTGAGAGACGCTGTACATGTACAGCTCTTTCTGCAATGACATGTCTGAAGGGCTCAGTCCCACCTAGGATTCAGATGCGTAAGGACAGCAGCCGTGGGCGGGATGGGTCTGACTTTAGTCTCCAGACAATGTGTCCAGGCCCTTCTCTCATATTTACCTGGGAGGCAGGGCCTTCCTTTGCTGGAGAAAGAGGTGTGGACCCCCTGGGTGAGCTGCCGAGGGCTGGTCGGTCTCTCAGCTCTGGCTCTTCTGGAAGCATGAGCTCTGCTTCTTGGCTTTTCTGGGGGGAAGACGAGGATGACTCATTCCTTGGAAGTGCCTCGTGATCTCTGCACAGCCTCCTTCTGCTCTAAGACGGCTGCAGGGATGCCCATCTTTGGGGTCCTCGGAACCCCCTGGGAAAGGGGCCCTGGTGACTGGTAACTCCTTTGGTCTGTCAAGGGAGGGCATGGGAGCGTCCAGCTAAAGTGTTTCCCAAGCTGGGATGTGTGAATCGCTGGGCATACTCTGAGGGTCTATCAGTTTTCACTAAGTTTCTAAAATTAGTACATACGTTTGATGATCATCTAAAAACAAAGCAAAAACAAATACGGGAGCTTCCTGGATGTTCTCCCCCGACCTGGGAGCCAGGGTGGGGGACCCTGGTGGTGTTACATCACATCAATACTTCAGATCCATTGCCTCGCGGGAGCTCACACTGATGTCGTCTCAGGGGTCCCCAGATCCTTAAGTCTGATAAACACCTATCCTGTCTCCCCTTCACTATAACCCTGGCTGGGAGGCAGGGCAAGGCCACCACCCCTTTTGACAGATGCGGGCCGAGGTGCAGAGGGTTGGGGAGACTAGTCAGAGCCTCCTGACTCGGCCCAGGCAGAGGGATGGAGCGCTCCCCCCCCCCCCCCCCCCCCGGTGCCAGGCAGGAGGAGCAGCCCGTCCTCTGGGATGCTACAGCCCGTCAGGAGGGGCAAGATGGAAACCAGCGCTGCCCTGGCTGGTTTGGCTCAGTGGATAGAGCGTTGGCCTGCGGACTGAAAGGTCCCAGGTTCACATGTCCGGTTGCTGGCTCGATCCCCAGTGGAGGGCATGCAGGAGGCAGCCGATCGATGATTCTCTCTTATCATTGATGTTTCTCTCTATCTCTCCCTCTTCCTTCCTCTCTGAAATCAATAAAAATATATTTTTTAAAAAGAGATGGAAACCAGCACAGAAAAATAAACCCATGAGTCGGAGGCTGGCATGGGATTGAGGGCTGGGGACCCCTAGGAATAGGAGTTGGGGGCTGTGGGGGGAAGGCTGGGGCGTTTAGAAGTGTGGGGTTCCCAGCAGCGGGCTGCTCCTGTCTCCTGTCTTGGGGAGGTTTTCCAGCTGGTTTCTCCGTGCTGTTTTCTCTGTCTTGCTTGAGCGGGGATCCAGGCTTTGAAGGCTTAAGTGGATTATGGTAAATTAACCATCCCTTTAAGCCTACAAAACTGAGCATGCACACCCTCAGACTTCTGATGCCGCTGAGGTGCTGCTGGTGGCTGTCCCTGAAGGGAAGGACCAAGTGGGGGACAGAAGGAGCCAGATTCTGAGGGTTGAAGATTGTCCCCTTCACAGAGGGCTCCCCTGTGGCGGCTCCTAATACCACATTTCTCCTCAGGGCTTCCCAGGGGCACTACTAGCTGACTGTGGGGCAGGGACAATGGGATGAGCGCAGCGGACCCCTGTCCCCCAGCCAGGCTGCTCTATACTGGGGGTGGGGATGGCAGGGGGTGGGAGATGTGTTCCTTGAGTTCCTGGCTTCCTTGACACCATTTTGTATCTTCACGTGTAAATCACTTGACTTGCCACCGCACCCCTTTCAGGATGAGGGGATGGGGCTCAGGGTGACATCGATGGTGACATAGAGTCATGAGGGTTTCCCTTCTTTCCGAGCAAGAGGAGACGGTCTGTCGTCTGGGACCGGCAGCCCTGCGGAGTGGTGTCCTCTCTGCTTCTCCTCCCCAGCCCTCCTGGCCTCCACCAGCTCACCCCCTTCCCCATCCTGACAGCTCTGGCTTTTCCTGTCCACTCGCTAACTTTTTATTGGGCCCTGCTTGACGCCGGGCACAGAATGGGACCCAGTGGGGCCTCGGAGGTGAGCAAGAGTCTCTTCTGGGTACTCACGTGCCTCTCCTTGCTTCTTCAATGTCACTCCCCGGTGGCCCCCAGTGCAGTTGGTCCTGGACCAGGACTAGCCCGTCCTGCTGTCTGCCCACACCCTTCTGAACAGCTGAGTATGCACTGGGGACTAGTGATGGACTGTCTTCTGGGTGACACCGTGTTCTAGAGAAGTTGCCGTAACCCATCCCAGCACAACCCCTGGCTTCCAGGGTTCCCTTAGATGTTGCACTTTATTTCCGACCGAGCTGTAGGCGTCCAACCCCGTAGCTCTGAGTTTCCTTCTCCCCGGACACCTGACTGATCTGGGAATAACCCCTCGGTACCCAGAGGAGCTGCCAGGTGCAGGGGCTGACATCCTCCTGTTGTGGAAGGTTACATTCTCTGCTGTGTGTTTCTTTTAAGGGGGGCCCACCTGTGTTTCTCTTTTTTTTAATAGATATATTTTTTATTTTAAGTATATTTTTATTGATCTCGTAGAAGAGATAGAGAGGGAGAGGGAGAGATAGAAACATCAATGATGAGAGAGAATCATTGATCGGCTGCCTCCTGCACGCCCCCCACTGGGGATCGAGCCCACAAACCTAGGCATGTGCTCTTGACTGGAATCGAACCCCGGACCCTTCAGTCTGCAGGCTGACGTTCTATCCACTGAGCCAAACCGGCCAGGGCCACCTGTGTTTCTCTTTGGCCCTCACAGTATTCCTCTCGCCACGGCATGGCCTTTCCAGGCAGCGGGAGAAGCCAGTATGGAGTTAACGCTGGCAGTGGTTAATCCACAAAGTGGGTAATTGAATTGACTATACATAATTAAAATCACAGGCGCGTCATGGAGAATGTCATTTTTCTCTTAAAGACGCTGTCCAAAGCCTTCGCTGCACACGGAGCTCAGACGTGCTTGGTGTTTTAAAGACAGCCCTCCCTCTGGCCCTCTTTGCCTGTTTATTCGGAGGAAGCTGGCTGCCTTCCCAAGAAGGCTCCCCCGATCACGGGGCTGCACATCTCCCCGTTTCCCCTTGGCCCACGTTGGCCCCTCCTGTGTTAGGGGAGAGGGACAGAAACTGGAAGGGGCCTCCACCCGCCCCTCCCCTGACTCCCCCCAGTTGTCATCCTGGCTCCTGCCCTGTTTCCTCTCCCTCTTCCTTCCTCCCCAAGGACCCACCTCAGCAAAGACTGGGCTGAGAAGTCCCCAGATGGAGTTCCTCCTGGTTTGCTGCAGACCAGTCATGCCACCTCTTGCCCTGTTTGGCTGCCCACATCTGGAATACCTCTGTTGGAAGGGGAGAGAATTAAAGTGTGACCCAGTTGCTATTTTGGGGGAGCACCCAGTCTGATGGGCAAGCTCTTTCACACTGCCCCCGCCCCCCGCCCCGTGAGAAAACACACTTGAGCACATTGAGTGACAATAACATACAATGTGAATGGAACAGAAAGGGTAGAGAGAATGTAGACCAAAATAAGATCACCTGGAGGGGAAATAATCCAGGAGAGCTTCCTGGAGGAAGAGGACCCTTGGCTTAGTCTCTCAGGTAGTATAATATCCTACCAGGATTTCTGAGAGGGGCCCTGAGGTCAGCTAAAAACCCAGTCTACCTGACTGCAAATCTACTTCTTATACTGATACTGCAAAAATGTCATTGCAATTACATGACAATTGTTGCCAATCCATAGTCACCTGCTGGGGGCAGAGGCAGAACCAAGGGGTTAGCTTCATTTTGTTGTAGAATTCCTTTCTTATTTTTTTTAAATTATGCATAACACAGTTTTCTAAAAAACATCCAACTCGTAAAACCTCCAGTTCTCCAGTGAGCGATTAAGTGTTTGCCTGTTGTGCAGAAATGAAGGGCTGCTTTTACTCTGTAGTGGAGGGATAATGAGCAATGATTTATTTCCCTTGGATTACACACACATACACACTCCTTTGGGCCTCCTGTGAGCCAGTCGCTAATGCGCCGTGGGGAGAAAGCACAGGGCCTCACATTCCCCCCTCGTCTTTACCCCATCAGCATGAATGTTCCTCTGCTCAAGGCTCTCTCATTACTGGTCAGTTCCCTCCCATCCATGAGGCAGGGGTGAGGGGCAGCTATTACATGGCCATGCACTGAGGTGGGAGAAGCAGGCCTCCACAGAAGGGAAAGAAGGAGTCATCCGGGTACTGTTGCCCAGGCCTGCCCTCCCCACACCGCTGCCCATCCACCCAGAGGGCTGCACGGTCTCCTCTCTGCCCACCCAATGCCCATGAAAAGTGTTGGCCTTGTCTGGGAAGACCTTTCCTTGGAGACAGGGATGGACACTGCTTGCCCACCCTCTGTGGAGCCTTGTCTGATAACCCGATTCTTCTTGTACAGAAAGAAGGGAGCTGAGGATTATTCATCCATTCATTCAAACACTGCCAAGTACTGGGAGAAGCCTGGCACTCCAAGAAGCAAGATCTTCCCTGTCCCCCAGGACAAACCACTGGGATAGACACCCAGGGATATGGGGATGTTGATAGCAGTAAAGTAGAGGTCTATGGGAGCCCCTTACTCAGGTTGGGGGCATCAGGGAGGGCTTCTTGGAGGAGGTGGAGTAGGGAGGACAGAAGTGCGAGAGTGTGCAGGCTCTTGTGGACTAGATTGGAGAAGTGCATAGTGTTCTGTTTAGTGTGGCTGGGTGAGGAGTCTAAAGGGGATGTGAAAGATGAAGCCTCATTCTTTCCATGGATCACGAAATAATGGCTGTGTCAGGCATCTGACTTGGGGGGACAGTGGGGCCACGGGTTGGGACTTTTTCTCCAGGAGCTTTTACAGGCTCCAGCTGGAGAGTGACACAACCGGATTTGCATTTTGGAAAGATCACTCTGGTTGCCCTATGGGAAATGGGCTGGAAGGGCAGGAGTGGAAGCCAGTCTAGTGAGGAGGCTGGCACCAGTCCAGGCTAGAGCTGCTGGTGGCTGGATGGGGGGTGGGGTGCAGAGGGCAAGATGGATGGGTTTCAGAGAGAGAGTTGGATGTATACCAGTCAGGATTGGCCAGCACGTTTGATGCAGCTGGTGAGGGTCTGAGGGAGTCAAGGGTGATTACAGGTCTCCCTTTGGGCAGCTGGGGCAGGTGGAGCCCTTTTCTGAGCTAGGGAACAAAGCGGGAACAGTGACAGCACCCCACCCCTGCTCCCCACCCCCTCCCAGCTGGCTGCTCACAGGTCTCCTGGCTGCACCCTGACTTAACGCTGACCGATTCTTCACCTTTCCATTATCCTGTCCAGTGCTGGGTAGCGGGTAACCTGGTCAATGGTAAGTGGGTGTTTGCCTCTCTCCCTTCCCCAGACCTGAAGCCCTGGGTCTCTAACTTCACCTACCCTGGAGCCCGAGACTTCTCCCAGCTCGCTCTGGATCCCTCCAGGAACCAGCTCATCGTGGGAGCCAGGTAAAATGGGGCAGGAGGGTTGGGGTCAAGAGTGCAGGTGCTTAGAATTGGGTGGAGGGAATGTTGTTTGGGGTGAGCCTACTGTGGGCATTCTCGTGTCCTGGGCTCCTGTTCCTCTCAGCCAGGCCCTCTCTGTGCCTGAATGTCTGTCTCCCACAGAAGGAAGCATTTGTGGTTGGGGGTGAAGTGACCTCCAGATCTCAGCAAGCCACGTACCTCGGTGGCTGGCAGTTACTGAGAGCGGCCTCCTCCTGTCCCCTGTCCCTGCCATGCGGCCAGACCCAGCCTACCTGGCACCCTCCCTGGGAGCTCCGAGCAGAGAAGGTGCCCAGGAGCCCCCTGCTGGCTGGCCGGCCACCTGCACCTGGGACTCCCGGACATAGGCCTTGCGCTTCTTTTAGGCAGGACCTGGCTTCCCTGTTACCTGACCTCCGTTACTCCCACTGTCCAGGGCCAGTATCCAAAGGATAACACTCTCTAGGGAGAACTTATGGGGACTTTGTGGGGTGGCGCAGGAGGAGATAATTCTCACAAAATTATAGACCATGAGTTCTGGTAGGGAAGGGAGCTCGGAGATGGGTGATTCCAGTGGGTCTCAAAGAGTGGACCAGCCACACCAGCAACATCTGGGAACTTGTTAGAAAGGCAGATCCTTGGGCTCCACCCCGACTTGCTGAACCAGAAGCTCTGGGGGGCCAGCAGCCTGCACTTCAGCAGCCCCTCCAGGGAGTCTGAAGCACACTCAGGCTTGAGAATCGCTGGTCTAATCCAACTGCCTTTGATGTGAACATGAAGAGGTAGAGAGGCCTGTTGAGGGCAAGGTGACCTTCTCAAGGTAATATAGCCAGATGACAACAGTGCTGAGGACAGAACCCAGGTCCGCTGAGCCCAGGGCTGGAGTTTGTTCTGCCAGCCCGTGTAGTCCCTCCTCCTGCAGTGGCATGTTTCAGACGCTCTCCACCCGAGAGGTCCTGATTCTGCTGTTCTGGGGCTGAGGGAGGGTGATCACCAGGCGGCTGACCAGCCTTGACGTCTGGGCTTTCCTGAGTGTTCCTGTCCCCTCACTGTCGTATGACAAGGGGCAGGTGAGGACAGAGCTCTGGATTAGGACTCGAGGAGTTGCATTCTTGTCCTGGGTGATCTTCTTTACCTTTGTTGTTGTTGTTGTTATTAATCCTCACAGGAGAATATTTTTTTCCACTGATTTTTTTAGAGCGAGTGGAAGGGGGGGGGAGACAGAGGGAGAGAAACATCAATGTGAGAAAGACACATTGATTGGTTGCCTCTGCACGCACCCCCGACCAGCGCTGGGGATCAAGCCTACGACTGAGGTACTTGCCCTTGACCAAAATCAAACCTATAACCCTTCGGTCTGAGGGCCGACACTGACCACTGAGCAAACTGGCTAGGGCTGATCTTCACCTTTGAGCCTCAGTTTCTTTATCTGTAAGGTCTGGGTTACAGTCTCTGTGCTGCCACCCTCACAGGGCTATGGCGAAGCTGGGCTGAAAGCATTTCACTTTTTATTTATTTTCTAACTTTTTTTTTTTATTCCTCACCTGAAGACATGCTTAGAGAGAGGAAGGGATAGAGAAAGAGAAACATTGATTATTTGCCTTCCATAGGTGCCCCTACCAGGGATCAAACCCGCAGTCCAGGTATATGCCCTGACCAGGAATTGAACTAGTGACCTTCCAGTGCACAGAATGAAGCTCAACCAACTGAGCCACTCCGGCCGGGTTAATTTTTATTTTTAAAAGAACCAGTCACAGTGCATCGGTGCTATGTGTTCTGGTATAACATTCAGAAGGTACAAAATAGTATACAGTGAAGAGGAGGGCCACCCCTCCGCACTCCAAGCAGGACCCCTCCTTGGGGGCACGCCCTGCGGTGAGTGTGTGTGTCTGCCCAGAGGTAATCTGTACATGGGCAAGTCTACAAGAGTATGGATTTCATTTTCCAGCTAAGAGAGTAATTGTTCTACTTTTTATTTTGAGATACTCATAGATTTACATGCAATTGTAAGAACTAACACAGAGGGATTCAAACCATAAGCCTTCCACCCAGTTTCTCTTAATGATAACATCTTGCATAACAGCCGAACAGCAGTAGTCAGGAATATGACCGATAAGAGCCTTCCACCTCATTCAGGTCCCATCTGTTTTCTGTATGTACTTTTAAAACCCTGATGTCTGGCTCTGGACTGTGTGGAAACATTTTAGAAGCTGTCATTCATCCTGTGCCGGCCGTGCACCAGGCACCGTCTTACGTACCATGTATGTAGTGAAGCATCTAAAACATGTAGGCAGTCAGCCATGTAAAAACGCATCTAATCTTCACAAGAACCCCAGGGATGGTGTTCTATGGCCCCATTGTATGGACCCGGAAACTGAGGCTCAGAAGGAGAGGTGGCCTGCCTGTGGTCACACTGCTCTTCCTGACCCAATCTGAGGCTTCCTCCACACGGTGGACACATACCTTTTCCTATCCTTGTTTCCCCCCAATCCTGGCTGTGCCCCAAGGATCGGGGGTGGGAGGGAACCAGTCCTGGACTTGCCCCTTGCACCTCTGGAAACAAATGAAGTGGGTCCTTGGCTTCTTTCTCCTCCCTTTCTTTCAGTCACTTTCCTTCCTCCTCTTCTGCCTTTCACATTTCCCCCTCCTTTCTGAGCCCCTCGGCCTCTGGAATTCCGGCTAGGGGACATATTTTTGCTCCTTTACACCCCGCCTTGTTTCCTGAGGGATTTAGGGTGGGTCAAGCTACAGAGATTTCTCTCTGTTCTCATCTCCCAGAAGAGCAGACCTCGACGATGTTGTGATGAATGATTTTTGATGGGATAAAAATGAAAACATAAAAAAGTGATGCAATGTTTCCCCTCATTCTTTAAAGCTGTGGCTGGATGCCTGTGTTACCTAGCAGACAGCCGGGGCAGAGCCATGAGCCACAGCCCATCTGTCCCCAGGCCAGGAGGGAGAGGGCGGGGCAGCTCTTCAGGGCAGGCGGCTGGGGAGGGGCAGCAGGAGCCTGGAGCCAAGGTCATGGGTGAGGCCCGCCAGGACAGCAGAGCAGCTGAGTGAGGCCCGGGCCAGCAGCCAGAGCTGGGGAAGAGGAGTCCCCAGCCCGAGCGGTCTCCTCCAGGCCCTGGGTTCATTTGGCAGGGCCCCTCCGCATTCTGGCCCACTCCACAACCTCTCCCCTCATTTCTCTTCCCAGCACAGCTGAGGGAGGCCAGAACTTTCCAAAGCAATTACTTCTAAAAACTCCAGGAATGAAAAGAGGAATGACCAAAGATGTATGAAGGAGAGAAGACTCTTAGGGAAAACCAGTATTTTACATCTGCTTGACATTAATAAAGCATCTTAACATGCATCTTACCATTCATTGCCCTGTCTCCACCACCCTGTGAAAGAGGAAAGACAGCCACATCCGTTTTAGATGCAGACGCTGAGGTGCTCAGAAGGTCCCTCACAAGCAACTGAGCTGGACTCCCCCGCCTCTGCCCCAGGGTCTATGCTGTGAACCTGCACTCTCACATGGCCCTCGGACCAGTGGTTCTGTCACCCTCGGGTCCATGCAAGGGGGCCTTGTGGCTCCAGAGCAATTTCAGCAGTGCCTGACACTGTGTGCTCAATAGGTAACATCATCATTAAGAGTCTTTTAAAAATATATACATATATTTTTTAATTGATTTCAGAGAGGAAGGGAGAGGGAGTGATAGAAACGTCAGCGATGAGAGAGAATCCCTTGATCGGCTGCCTCCTGCATGCCCCACACTGGGAATCGAGCCCGCAACCTGGGCATGTGTCCTAATAGGGAACTGAACCGTGACCTCCTGGTTCATAGGTCGACGCTCAACCACTGAGCCACGCCGGCTGGGCAAGACTCTTTTTTTTGAGCAGTTTTAAGTTCACAGCAAAATTAATGGGAAGGTACAGAGAATTTCTATATACCCTCAGCCCTACACGTGCAGCCTCCCCCATCGGAGCGGTAAGTCTGTTACAATTGATGAACCTACATGGGCACATCATTATCTCCCAATGTCCACAGATTATGTTATGGTGCACTGGTGGTGGTATGCATCCTCTGGGTTTGGACAAATTTATAATGATATGTATCCATGATTATGGCATCATATAGAACATTTTCACTGCCCTGAACATTCTCTGTGCTCTGCCTGTTCATCCATTCCCTCCCACCACCACTCCTGGCAGCCACGGATCCCCTTTAATGTCCCATAGCTGTGCCTTTTCCAGAATGTCATATAATTGGAATCAGACAGTATGCAGCCTTTTCAAATGGGCTTCTTTCATTTAGTAATATGCACGTAAGGCCCCTCTGTGGCTTGTTATGGCTTTATAGCTCATTTCTTTTTAGCGCTCAGTAATATTCCATTTTCTGAGTGGACCACGGGTTACTAATCTATTCACCTACTAAAGGACATCTTGGCTGCTTCCAGGTTGGGCAATTATGAATAAAGCTGCTATAAACATTCCACGTGCAGGGTTTTATGTGGACAGATTTCCTTAAGGTTTCTGAGCAGCAGGCTGATCTGATGAAAACGGTGTTTGAGGAATCCGAGTCTGGCAGCCCGGTGGGGAAGAGCATCGTGAAGAGGCAGAGGGGGCGATTGGGCATGAAGAGACAGGTGGTCCAGGGAGGTGGCCATGGGAAAGTCAGACCCAGAGTCACTGGGCCTGTTTGAGGAGGGGAGTGGGTCCGGGAGGGGGGTGAGGGGAGAAGGCAGGTGGCCTGCCTGGGTCCCTACAAGAGCTGCAGGAGGCTTTAAGTTGAACAGAAACAGGCTCCAGGGGTGGGAAAATGGTGGAGGCTCTTCCTGGACCTGCCAGGGTGGCCAGACACATGGAATAGACAAGTCTGGGTTTTAACTCGTCCTTGGGCCATGTACCCACCCTGTTTCCTCGTCTGTAAAATGGCTTTCTTTTTTTTCTCCGTGCTCCTGGGGCTGCTGTGAGGATTCCATGAGCTAAGGGAGGTGAAGCTCTTCTTGGGGGTCCGCTTACCGAAGACCCTCTGCACTCGGCACCTGTCCTGGCACCCGGCGTGTGAGGCAGGAGCAGCTGCCTTCCGGGACTGGGCTGCGGGCCCAGCTTGACTGATGATTTCCGTCTCTGTTTTCACAGGAACTACCTCTTCAGGCTCAGCCTTGCCAATGTCTCCCTCCTTCAGGTACATTTGCTTCCCTTCCCTTCTCTGTAATGTCCTTGGGATTTGGGAGCCCAGCTGGGGCAGCTCAAAGAGCAAGAGTCACAATTTAACCCCTAGCGTGGAAAATAGGAGCCCCAGGCTCTTCTCACTGGCCATGGATTCCCCCTGGCTGTCAAGGTGATTGCTGGGAAGATCATTGGAAGCGGGAGTGAGGCCTCTCGAACAGGGAGGCACGCACAGGGCTCCTTCCTGCGAGGAGGGGAGGAAAGGAGGCCCAGAGCTCGGTGGCCCTGGCCCTGCTTGCCTGGGCCTGAAGAGCCTCAGGGTGCTGGGCCCACAGTGCTAAAGCCAGGACAGGACTGGGAAACCAGGACGGGTGGGTCATTCTAAGTCCAGCGCCTAATCCACAGGAAGGCATCTGAGTTTGGGCCTCAAGGGTCAGGATGCTGCTGGTTCCTTTCTTAGCCTGGCCTGCGTAACCCCTTCTCACCCAGCAGCTCCACTGAGCTGTGATTTGTTAATTATTTACTGCCAAGGACTCCCCAAGCCTCATTCCCCAAGTACCCTGGGTGAGAAGGCATGTTAATGGGCCTTCTTGATCCAGAACATTTGTCCCAGATTGAGAAACAGCTGCCACACCATCTCTGCAGGGGCTGAACATTCCGGAGAAAGGATGGCCGTCTCTTCTTCTTCGATGAGGAGAGAGCCCCCGTCCTCCTGTCCAAGAGGCTTGCTGGTCTCTCAGGGATCAAGTATCCATTCAGCGCTTGCTGTGTGTCCGAACTGAGCTGGGGCAGAGGGGCAGTAAGACAAGCAGAGTCTCTGACCCTCCGGTCTCACACTACAGCCCAAAGAAGTTGATGAGTGATGCGCAAAACTAGGGAATGGTACGAGGAGTTAGTCAGGCGCTGGGCTGTTTGGTATACAGTCTCACTGCAGAGGCCAGTTGGAAAAGGGGAGACCTCCTTGGTGAGCTGGTGTGACATTCTGGTCTGGTTTTTTCTTGCTTCACCTGGGTCTACACCCCACGAGCCATTGCCGCTGGTTTTCCAGAGGGGAGGTTGAAGGGAACAGAAGAGATCTATCCTTCAGTCTATACCCTTACTGGCCAACTCACCTATGCATCCGTCTAACCCCGTGGTCGGCAAACTGCGGCTCGCGAGCCACATGCGGCTCTTTGGCCCCTTGAGTGTGGCTCTTCCTAAGGAGTGGCTCTTCCTAAGCCTTAGGAGTACCCTAATTAAGTTAATAACAATGTACCTACCTATATTTAAAATATAGTTTCTTTAAAAATTTGGCTTTCAAAAGAAATTTCAATCGTTGTACTGTTGATATTTGGCTCTGTTGACTAAGGAATTTGACGACCACTGATCTAACCAGCTGCAATCACCATTGTTGAATACCTGCTAAAGCCCAGCTCCAGTCCTAGGCACGGTCCCAGGCATTTAAGATCCAAAGGTGAATCAGGTTCCATCCCTTGCCTCAAGGAGCACATATATGAGGGACCATAAATGACCCCCTTTCCTGTTTGGGACCTGTGTCGCGTGTGCCTGGAGTCTGGGCTGGAGCAAGGCAGAGGACGTCTGTCCCAGAGGCAGCATCCTGTGGCCGCCTGGCTCAGTCACAAGCAGCCCACCCAGGGCCTAGTTGTCTCTTGGCAGCCCCAGTCCTCGTGTCCAGGAGGCTTGCTGGTCCCCCCATGATCAAGTATTCATTCAGCACTTTCTGTGCATCCGAACTGAGCTGGGGCAGAAGGGCAGTAAGACAAGCAGCGTCTCTCACCCTCAGGTCTCATGGACAGCCAGGAGATGATGAGTGATAGATGCCAAGCCCAGTAGGTCAGGGTCTGGGGGATCCTGTGCAGAGGCGATTCACAGTAGGGGCAGGAAGTGAATCCAGGGGTGCTGCCCTGAGCTCAGGCAGTGGCTTTTTATTAGGCTCCCATGGCCTGCAAATGAAGGTCTTCTGGGAGGAGTAAAGCGGCTAAAGGCGGGAAGAGAGACAGATGTGCAAAATGAATGGCAGTGCTGGGGGAAGACTGCAGGGAGGGGCTTGTGCTAGGTGTAGTGGTGGCCCAGCAGGGTCTGCACAGGCTTTGCAGGAGCTGCCTGTGGGCTGGAGCTTGAAGGATGAGAGTTGCCAGGCAGCTAAGGAGGAGACACGATGTGGAACAGCATGGAGCACTGAGGGGTCCAGTGTGGCAGGATCATGGGGTGTGAGTGGGATAAGGGTGGGAGATGACGCCGGGGAGAGACAGAGGCCACGTCACAGAGGGTCTTCGTTGCTGAGTGGAGAGGTCCATGTTCTATTTTGAAGGCACTGGGGGCTCCTCAAAGGGTTTAAAGCAGAGAAGTATTTTGACCACTTGGCCCAGTGCAGAGACGAATAAGTGGAGAAGCCAGTTAGGACTCAAGTGCAATAGTCCAGACCAGTGATGGGGAGAGCTGAACTAAGGCGGCAGAGTGGGGATGGAGAGCACTGGGAGGAAGAGGTCTGCAGGTGGCAGAATCACACAGGGTCACAGCACTGGGGGGCACCAGGCACACTGTCTTCTGCATGAAGGTGACCCCTGTTGTTGGGGAAGCTGGCAGTGCTGAATAGCTTAGGGAGGCTTGGGCCACAGTGGTGCCATCCAGGATTCTGGCTGGCATAGCTGAGTAGCATAGATCAGGATGGGCATGGAGCTCGCCTGACTCCAGGCAGTGGTTCTCCCACAGCTGTCCACTGGAATCACCAGAGGAGCTTTAGAAAACAGTGATGCCTGGGTCCCACCCTCAGAGACTCATTTACTTGGTCTGGGGTCCAGCCGGGCACTGGGATTTGTAAAAGCTCAAGGTGCAGCCAAATTTAGGAGCCGCTGCTCCAGGATGTCAAGGAGGCTTTTTCTGTAGGTGCTGCCCAACTGGTTTGGCTTCCCCAGGTGTCCTTGAAGCTGATGCCCATTTCTGGGTCTTATCAGATGTTAGACACTCCGGGTTGATGACCAGGCCTGGGGTTTGGTTCACCCAACTCCATGTTGATCTCAGCCATAGGAAGATATCTTGGGCGAGCCCATAACTTATGCTGAGGGCAGGCTCAGCTTCGGGGGGCTTTCTGAAGGACTCTGCCAACCAGCCCCAAGTACACTAGGAATTAGTTTACCATCTTTTTAGGTTGTCTCTTTGGAGCCTGATCTCTGGAATTCAGACTAAATTCTTCCCAATGAAACTAAAAAGAAAAAAAGTTACATTGCATGTCCATGTCCACACCATAGGGGGCACCATCTGGTCACAAGGCAGAGAGAATGGGAGAGTTTGGAGTGAGTGGTTGTAGTGTTCCCTCAAATAGGCTGGCAGCAGACCTCAGCCCCTGGCCACCAGGCCTAATGAGAAATTCCCAACTCCAGCGAGCCAGTTCCCTGCCACAGCCCAGCCCAAGGAGGCTTCAGGTCCCTGCTTGTAAATGTTCAGTCCCCAAATCTGCTACCACAGGTGGCTCACAGCAAACAAGTGCTAACAATGAGCTGCACTCCTACCCCGGCCCAGCTTCCTTGACTCTCCAACTGCCTGGGGTCCGCATGGCTGTAACGTAACTCTCCATTACAGCCCACTGCTCCTTCCGTATGACCCCAGGGCATGCTTTAACCAAACTTTAAAACTCAGTGCTTTATCAGTAGTTTAAATAATTAATATCCCTTAAAAAAATCTAAGTGCAAACAGTTCATGCAAACCAGTGTCCATTAAAAGGATGTTTGAGTGCCTACCCCTTATGAAACAGTTTATGTAAACTACTGCTCCTTAAGACAAATCGAAATACCCCAGTCTCCAAGCACTGAATGGAGGGGCGTGGGTGGGAGGGACACACACACACACACACACACACACACACACACACACACACACGCGCGCGCGCTTTCGAAGGGAGCAGAGAAATCAAATCAGCTCACCTGTGATGTTATTTATCAGTGTAACTTAATAAACTGGCCTGGGAAAGGAAAGGTGGCACGTGGTCGGCAGGGTCAGGGGCAGCTGTGTGATGAGCTAAGTTGGGTTTGGCAATTAGGAGAGGAGTGATGAGACGAGAGCATGGCATGGCTGGAGGTCTAGTGGCAATGGCTTTCTAAGCGCAGGCTGCCAGGTGTCCTGCAAGTGCAGAAATGAGGACTGAAATGCACAGACGCATCGGAACGCATCCGGGGCTGGGTCCGGTCTGGGCCTGGGCACGCGGTGAGGCTGATTCTGAGCTCTCGCCTAGTTACTTCCACATTCTCCGAGCTAGTCTGGCAGCTCTAGAGTTGTTTGAAATCTAAACTCTGCTGAGTACTCAGAAGATGTCTTAATGTTCAGCCACTGTCTCTCGTGTCCAGGGGAGTTGCTGAGTTTGCAAGGAGATTACCCAGTTCCTGGCTGCCTCGCCTGCTCTCTCGTGGCTGAAAACCATGCAGTTATTCTGCTACTGGAGATCACCATCCTGGAATTTCCAGGACAGTCCTAGTTTAAAGCACTATGTGTGGCAGATGGATCATTCATGTCTATCTGGACTCCTTCATAAAACTCCACGAGAGGACAGTGACAGATGTTAAAGGCACAGATGCACCATGACAGGACAAAAGAGATGTCAGTGGACAAGAGATTAACTGCATTCTGCAGAGATGGAGAGTGGATGGAGCAATCGCAACTGATTTATCAGAAGAGTTTACAGAGGGGATATGGCAGACTCCTAGAAGGCTCAGAAATCAGGTGTCAGATATTGTGGACTTGTGAGGATGAGGTGCAAGCCTAAAAGAGGGGAATGGTTGAAATTCTCTAAATTGAGAGGTTGGAACCCACATCTGTCCCATCCCACACAGCCATTTTACCCCTCCCCCAACAAAGAAAGACTAAGGCCCTTTCTCTAAAGACCCAACTGTTGAGGCTCCACATTTGGAGACTCCAGGAAAGGGGAGGACACTGATAGGGTTTGAGGCTCGAACAATGTTTCTCCTCTTCCTCTCTTTGTGCAATTTATTCATTGAATAAACCTGGTCATGTGCCCTACAGAGT